GTGGCTGTCGGTTTAAGTTGTTATTCATATTTTGCTGTAAAATCTTATTTTTCTCTAATTTCTTCTTTTCTCTGTTAATATTAAAGTGTTTTCCCAAATGAAGAGCGTTTATGAAACCCAAAGATTTCTTGAGTCCCCCATGACTTTGATTATTATTATTGTTATTATTATTGGTTACGATATTATGCGAGTGGTTGTGGTTAAAGAGATTCTTATTATTCTCCATATTATTAGCGAATGTATTATTCTTTCCCTTATTCTTGATGTGATTCATGTGATCAGAATAATTAAATGCATTCAAATTGAACCCATTATTCGCTTCTATAGTCGAGTCGTTATACATAACGATCTTACGATCTCTCGGAGATATACTCAATACCGTTCCCATTGCTTCTGCCGGCTCTTTAGACTATGTCTTCAATTCATACGACAATTATTTATAGATTTAAGTTTTTTAAGTGCTTCTCTCGATTGATCCCAATATTATTATCAATACCATTAAGAGATACACAAAAAGTTTTCAATCAAGTCTTAGCTCAGGATAAAAGGCGATTGAATGGATAGTATGCGCGTTAGGACTACGACTGTAAGATGGCTTCCACTCAAGTCTCCCAAACCGTGTGCTTAAGTAGACTTTCGCTCAAAACAATCCTCAGTTCAATAGAAACACCAGAATTTGCATTGAATTGGTATTATTAGACACAAACAGAATTTACTCATAAAACTAATCACAATTTAAATGAATCACTGAATTATTATGAATGAAAACAAAGAATATATGAAAATATTCGACAAAATATAGAGAATCACAGAATTAAGAGTATTATACAATTGATTATGAAATGAGTTATTGATTCGCAACATTTTACTACTGAGCAAATTGATGATGAAAAGGGATCGCTTCCAGAACTTGTCACGACTCTCGTTCTCCACCAGAAATGGCTTTAATGGATACGAGATCTCGTTTCCCATATACGCGTAGCTGAGGTAAAGACAGGTGAGAACCACTGCCTGTAACTCCTTCTCGCTCTCCACGTCTTCCTGAATGAGTTCCCGTAAAAGCATATATAGAAACACAACGTTTGCCGGGTTTATGAATGCAATGTCCTATCGGAGAGACCAATGAAATTCAATTAACGTATTGTCTCATCATTTGTTGATAACTTCTGAAACGGACACTAATATTCTTAATCATAAATCTTTTGTCACTTTTGTGAGAGAGATGCGAGAAACTGATAACATAATAAAAAGCTAAACATTTAGTGTAAGTGCAGTGTATTTGTCAACAGATTTTGTTGTAAACGATAGCAATTGGAAAACGATTTAATTGTTTCTATTCTTATACTCTAACTAATTGTTTGCAATCTCTTTACTTTTTTGCTTTATGTGACAAAACAGATCCAAAACTAATAAAGAAATTGGTGTTTGTGTCCAATAAATGGCTACAATTGATCATTACCTGCCATCCCTGCAACAGTAGCGATCTGTCAACAGCCCTCAGCCATATAACTGCATCTCCGGACTGAAAGTTCTTCAGTTTATGGCATTTGTTTGCGAGGAAGTCACCCAAACATCTCAAAAGCTCAGATGTTGACGCCTTGAAAATGAAAAAACATTTTAAAATTAGTTTTTAATTTTGATAAAAATTTGTCTATCAACTACAATAAGTTTCCTTCAGTTTCAAAATCATTTAATCACTGATTAATTGACAGATATATTATATATGGTGTCCTTCTGATTAATGATATATCAGTATTCCTATTGATTATAGCAATACTAATGTATCTTGAGAGAATTTGCTTTTATAACAAAATAAGAATTTCATATAAATTTTGTTTTTGATCTCAATATATCTTTTTGTGTAAAAAGGACAGGAATTTATATCATCAACCATTCTCTTATAGTTAATGTTTTTAAATATTACGTTAGATTTTAAGCTTATAAATTGCAGATATTTCTAATTAATTACTATTTTTATTATTAATTTATATATTCTACAAACTTAATTTATCTTACTATTAGTTTAATGTGTTTCTAACAAAATACTTAAAAATACATTTTAAAAATATCATAGGTCACAAATCAAACATTTCACATATTTTCCAATTGATTCAGTAATTTGCTTGTTTATTAGTGGATAATAACAAAAATATTTTGTCAGAAGTAAAATGTAGGAAATGATATATTAGCAGAAAACCTATAAACCGTAACCAAAATAGCATTTCATTTAAAGACATAAACACATATTTCATATGACCCTTTCATAGCAATATAGATATGTTTTATGACCAAATAATTTAATTTGTACCCTCTTTACTGTGTCTTATATAAGAGATCTATAAATTGGACGCAAGTATTGCATGTCTAACATGAGAGGCANTACATATACTATTATTTATTATCTAATCCTATATTCCATTTGTCAGGTATGCCATGAATTACACAATATTTTATATATGAATACATTTTGATTAAATCTATGGAATATTTTTGTTTTTTGTATTATTCTCTATCCTTAATCATAAATATATTAATAATGTAAATTATATTTCTCGTGAAATTCATATTCACTGATATGAGAAAGAAATTGAAATTAAAAAATATGAATCAATTTCGTAACAAAAAATGTTTTTCACTTTCAGCTAAATAGTCGTAGGATTTGATTTATAAAAGTTGTATAAATAAGTATTATGAAAGCGGTCTTATTATATGATACATTGGTTGTATAAATTTACTTATTTTGCAATTCGCATGAAAACCAATGGAAACGTGTTATTCAACTCAAATTATATCCTGTTTCACGCAATAATCAATAGCTTAGGAGTTAGACCTTTGCAATGGGATTATCTAATGTCTTGTATGACTCATACAAGACTTAATCGCATCTGTTTTTTGTCTCCAAAACATCGATACAAAGCTTTTGGGAAAATTGAGTCTACAATAAGACTGTCGCTAAAATCTAATATAATATTTGATGAGAAAAACTGTTAGATTAAACTGTCTCACAATAAATAAGTTTTCTTTAAATTAAAAAACTAAACGACAACTACAAGATTGAAGACAAACACGAGTTGGCAACTGAGTGCCAGCAGTGATGACTACCAGCCTTCCCACACACTTAACATTGAAAGAAATGCTGTCGTTCTCTATATATTCTCTATATATTCTGTGCTTTTATATAATATTCCATACATTTTATATCAAATAAAGAATTCTTTAATCAATAGTTAAATCAATTGGTAATTCAATTGTGAGACAATAATATAAAAGTTTTATATTATATTCATTTCATTTCAATATAAATAAATTTTAAAATGTTTACTCTATAAGAGTAAGAAATATATCAAAATGTTTATTAAGTAAATGAGATATTTTTCAGGAAGACTCAGTGGACTATACCTTTCTGTTAAATTAATTGGTTTTCTATATTTACAAATAGTATTCGTCAAGAGTTTTATGTATTCATTGTCTAAAGTATTGCTTTTGACTGATATTTGAGATGAAATGTTGAATGAATGGGGAGATGGAGAGCATCTAAATAATGTATAAAAGCTTTTATTCTAATCTATAGTAGTATTGAGTGGATAGAAGGGGAGAGCATACAGAGCCTACTCTCTCTCTCTCTCTCTCTCTCTCTCTCTCTCTCTCTGCCTATACTATACAGTAATGGAGCGAATGTTTGGAAAATATGTTTTGTTTGATTTGAAATCAAATATTGATGAGTGACTCACTTGAATAACTGTTTTCCTTTGATTACTTGTGGGACTGATTTGCGATGAAAGCGTTGAAATATTATTGGTAAGAGTGATACCATTCTTAATATGGTTTGTGAGGCCGGCGTTGAATACATTACAAGAGGGTCTGATGGCGTTCCGAGATAACAAGATCGTCGGTTTGGGGGGCAGAGGGGGTGCCACTGGTTTGCCGGCCACCGGGTAAGGGTTTGGCGGACAGATATCTTTGTTCACATTCTTCACGATTTCGATGTTGTTTGTAGTCATACCTGACTTCAGGTTATAGCACGACAACGACTTTTGGATATTCTTATTGTTATTATCGTTCAGATTATTGGCGTTTTCTAGTGGCTGTCGGTTTAAGTTGTTATTCATATTTTGCTGTAAAATCTTATTTTTCTCTAATTTCTTCTTTTCTCTGTTAATATTAAAGTGTTTTCCCAAATGAAGAGCGTTTATGAAACCCAAAGATTTTTTGAGTCCCCCATGACTTTGATTATTATTATTGTTATTATTATTGGTTACGATATTATGCGAGTGGTTGTGATTAAAGAGATTCTTATTATTCTCCATATTATTAGCGAATGTGTTATTCTTTCCCTTATTCTTGATGTGATTCATGTGATCCGAATAATTAAATGCATTCAAATTGAACCCATTATTCGCTTCTATAGTCGAGTCGTTATACATAACGATCTTACGATCTCTCGGAGATATACTCAATACGGTTCCCATTGCTTCTGCCGGCTCTTTAGACTATGTCTTCAATTCATACGACAATTATTTATAGATTTAAGTTTTTAAGTGCTTCTCTCGATTGATCCCAATATTATTATCAATACCATTAAGAGATACACAAAAAGTTTTCAATCAAGTCTTAGCTCAGGATAAAAGGCGATTGAATGGATAGTATGCGCGATAGGACTACGACTGTAAGATGGCTTCCACTCAAGTCTCCCAAACCGTGTGCTTAAGTAGACTTTCGCTCAAAACAATTCTCAGTTCAATAGAAACACCAGAATTTGCATTGAATTGGTATTATTAGACACAAACAGAATTTACTCACAAAACTAATCACAATTTAAATGAATCACTGAATTATTATGAATGAAAACAAAGAATATATGAAAATATTCGACAAAATATAGAGAATCACAGAATTAAGAGTATTATACAATTGATTATGAAATGAGAAAACGTGTGAAACGTCTCTTACGGATAGAGAAGATCACATAAACTGGAATTGAGTTGAGTCTGGCTTTGAAGACATAAAGTTCGTGATTGTATGAGTCATCTGATGGAGCGGTGGAACCATTAGATGAAAGACAGACCACTCATAGACTCCAAGAGTGATAGAGAGTGAGGAGAAGAGCTGTGATCTCTATAGCAATGCTAGTGTCGGGCCGTTAAGGATATGTCGGGCGATGAGACGCACAGCGCATACATACCGGAGTCGTAACAGTCGATCGAAATATCATTTATGCCTTCTTTTCAAACACCAGTTCCTCAGCCGTACTCTACTCGCGATCACAGGAATGGGATTTATGGCAGAATTGAGTGCACAGTCTCTCATAGCAACCATTGCCTCTCACCGATCGATACTTTGCACTACTTTTATATCATTATATAAATGAACAAAAAATATATTAAACAGAAGACCAATGCTTTTGAATGAGACATCAAAATCACAGCTAAACTCTATTTTCAACGTTTAATAAAAGAGCATTTTATTTAAATAATATTGTTTTCCTAAAGCTCCTACTAAAATATTATCTTTAATATTTAGTAGTCTCTCTCTCTCTCTCTCTCTCTCTCTCTCTCTCTCTCTCTGTCCTCTAAGAACTTATTATAAATACTTTGTATTTGATATGAAAATATTTTTGTATATACTGTAAATGTAAAAAATATTAGTTATGGTAATTATATAAAGTTTTACAGTTGTTTAAAACTCTATTTAAGTGACTTATAAATTAGATTTCTGTTACATATTATATAATTTACAATTGGATAAGATTTAATTAATTTTATTCACGTATGTCTGCAATTAGCTTTTAGTGTGTCTGTAATTATGTTCCTATTATTCACTGAATTGAAGCA